AGATGCATGCRCACRCATGCATGCACACCCGTGCACGCGCACGCACGCACATGCAAACGCACGCACAGCCGTGCACGCACGTGCGCATGCATGCACGGAGCTCGCACAAGAAGCCAGCGGCGCCTCAGCAGCCTTTGCCGGCCCCGGATCGCCGCGGCCGCCTGGAATCGCGCGGRCATCGCGCAGCCGCTGGGGTCACGCAGGCAAGCACAAGCACCTGGGACTAATTGCGCTAAACAAWTGAGCAATTAAGGGCAGTGCAGCAAGACTACAGCCTTCTCCCTGACCCCCTGCGCCCCCATGGGAACGGGCACCCTATGGGGCCAGGGGAKCCCGGGGATTGAAGCTCCTTTGTGCGCAGCCCGGCCGGGCGCTGGGGCTGCTCCTTCAGCGCCGTAAATCAGCCGGCGACGGCTGCTATTCCAGCACCCGCCCGGGGCCCTTCCGGCTGCGGAAATGCAAAACCCCGGACCAGGCAACAGGGAAAACCCACCCCGGAGCTGCCCCTTGTCGTGTGCTGGGGGCTAAGGAGCAATTAAGCTAATGAGGAGGGCAGCAAGCGCCCGTTGGCCCTGTGAGGGGGCTTGTGCAGCTCCGGGCACCCTCAGGCCCTGCTTTCCGCAGGGAGCAGGGTGCCAGCGGCTCCTTCTGTGGGTCCCCGTGCGGGGCCGGGGCTTTGCCGGCCCCAGAGCCCCTTCGCTCACCTGCACGTTTAACTCGCCGCCAGTTTGCTGGGCAGGAAATAAAAACGTCTGCAATTAAAGCGCCGGTGGACGCAGCGAGAGAGGGTCAGCGGTTCGCGTGCTAATGCAAGCAGATTTGGTTATGATTCATTAAGCCATTAGTTTTCTTTTTAATTGCAGCTTCTCAGGGAGGAGGGGCTGGCGTTCCTGCAGAGTGACTGGGAAAACRGGAGCCGACGGAGCCAACCTGAGTGTGGGGGGGCACTGGCAGCCCCTGTCCCGCCAGGYCCCCRCGCATTGGAGCGGCCCCCAGGAACAGAGAGTTTGCGGGAGCGCAAATCCATCCCGGAGAACCGGCCTCAATGAAGAGGCAGGGGCTCCCAAAGCCCCCCAGTGCCGGTGGGTGTTTCCGCCAGTCCCAAAAGGTGGAATTTGGGACACAGAGCATCCAGCGGGCGCGGATCCGCCCGGGCGCACGGCAGCAAATTGGGGCCGGGGCGCCCGGCTCGGCTCTGGTGCTCCCCGTCCTCGGACCCCCAACGCACCCAGGGGCTCGGCTCCCCGGGTGAGCGCRGCCGCCCGCGGGGCAGGCGCGACCTTACCGCAGATAATTAAACTGCATTAGGGCCCTGTGTGGACACAGCCGAGGGGGCCAACGGCCCTAACTCGATTTCCTTCACTTGCAAATCGCGCCAGCGAAGCCGGCCGAAATCGCATTAAGGCCCTTTTCCCCCCCAAACCGTGTCCTCGCGGGGCTTTAATGTGGTTTTGCTAATTTGATTGCAGGGCTCATTCTGATTAACTGGGTTAACACGGGGCCGGGCGCCCTCGGCCTCGCGCTGCGGCCGGGAGCCTTTCCCGGCACGGCCGGTGGCGATGCCACCACGCGGGGCCGGCCGCTGGACAAGGATGCTCCAGCTCTGCCCTGGGATGTGAGCTCRGCGTGCCAACCACAAAGGGGTGGGGGTTTTTTTAGGTTGAAAACAAAAAAAAAGATATTTCTGTAGAAAACGCTCCTTTCGCTTGATGTGTTGCAGAACAAGCGCCGGCTCAAGGGGCGCCTCTTCCGGGAATGCATAATTCGGGGAAAGCTCGGGGAAAAAGGGAAGGAGCTTTCCCTGCAAAGCACAACGGCGGAAACGCTGTCTGCTGCAGGAKTTTCCCATCTGCAAGGTGGGATGCTTTTTCAGGGATGCTCCTCTGTGCCCCAAAATGCCCTCCGGACTCCCTCCTTTGTCCTGCAGCTGCTGGAGCTCRGGATTATTAGGAAAACCGGGGGAAATGGGTTGGACAGACCAGGCAGAGCTGCTCTGCAGGAAGCCAAGTTCAAGGGCTGTTTCGGGAGCCCCGGGACGGGGTGCGGAGCTCGGGGCTGAGTCTGGCCGCGGGGCTGCCATGTGCCGGCAGCTCAATGCCGGCTTTATAGCGGAGGGCAGGGAAGCGCCGGGGTCAGCGGGTGCGGGCGCGCCGATCCTCCCGAGTTTGCAAAGCCCATGCCATAAATTTTTCCCGGGTGCGCTCAGGGCATAGCCAGGCCCCAGGACGCCGCAATGGGGCCGCAGAAAAGGAGGCTTTTTGTTCGCCGCGGCCAGAGGCAGCGCCGGCCGCCGGCCCCGCCGCTCCGGGACAAAGAGCCGCTTCTTGAGGGTTTGTCCCGCGCAGGAATGCGGGCTCGGAAAGGCGCTGGCCTCGGGCCGGCAGGGAGGAAGGTCTCGCCCATGGCTCTGGCCGCTCTCCGGCCCGCAGCGCCCTCCTCGGCTGTGGTTTCCTTCCCCCCGACGGGGCGGTCAACGCAGGGGCTCCCAGCGAGCAGGGGGCGCAGCCAGCGCCATCCCGGTGCCCAACGCCCCCGTCCCCGCCGCGCGCGGGGCTGTGTCACCTGCCGCCCGCCCCGGACCTGGCCAAGGTCTCGGTGGACGGAGCGGCGCCGGCCACAAAGTGACGCGTCGGGACGCGCGGCGTCAGGCCCGGCTGAGTCACCCCGACAATGGACTCCACACAAAGGGCCCGTTTTTCGCACGAGGGCTCCCAAACCGCCACCCCGGCGGGTACCGTCGGCTCCCGCCGCCGGGATCAGCCGCTCGGGGCAGGTGCCCGGGCCCCGCCGGGCTCCTCCACTGGCTCCCGCCGCCTCCGAGCTTCGCGGCAGCCCCCGGCGCGGCTGCTTGGGGCTCTGCCTGCGAAGGGATCTTTTTTATTCCCCCTTATTCCCCTCTATTTTCCCAGTGACGGGAGGGCGCCGGTTCCCTCTAGCGGCAGCTCGCGGTCTSCGCCGCGTGTCCGCCGGTCTCCGGGGACAGTCCGGCTCCCGGCGCCGTCCGAGGGCGGCTCCGAGCCGGGGGGCGGCGGGGACACCCTGGCACGCGCCGCGTCCCCTCGTGCCGCGCGCCACCCGCGACGTGCGCTCCGTCCACCGAACACGCAGGGACTACAACTCCCAGGAGGCCGTGCGCAGACCGGGGCGGCGCGCGGCGCGGCGGGAGTTGTAGGCGAGGCCGCGGCGCCCCAGCAAGYGGCAAATGCGGAGGAACTACAAGCCCCAGAATGCCGCGGGGCGGCGCGGGCCAATGAGGAGGGCGCGTCAGGGAGCTGCATGTGGAGGGCAGGGGCGCCGCGGTGCGGCCCGAGGGCCGCGTCTGGGCTGCAGCCTGGCGGGCGGCCGCCCCAGAGACCGCAGGGCCCGGGCGGCCAGCTGCGAACGCAGACCCGGCGAGGCCGCACGGAGGCCTAGCGTTTCGGTTGGTGCTAGGACACAGACCGAGAGCGCGCGTAGAGTTGCGCTTGCAGTGGCGCTGCAGAAGCCATGCCCAAAGGAGTGCAGGGCTGTGCCAAGATTCATGCTTCARTTTGTTTGTGTTTCAGGTAAAAGGCTTGTTTGCGGGAGACCTTTGCGTGACGCTGTGTTGGAGCTGAGGGTTAGTGCTAGGGTGGGGTTAGGAGAGGGACGAAGCGCAGAGCCCCGCTTGGAGTGAGGCTGCAGAGGCCATGCTAAGGGAAGTGTGGCGGTGTGCCGAGACTCATCCCTGTGCTGCTTTCCAGGTCTGGGGCAGAGCGAGGTGGCTGGTGCTAGGTGAGCATCAGTCTGTGTGGCAGCGTTCGGCGTGCGTTTTGGTTAGTGCAGGGACAGAGAGCAAGCGTAGAGGTGCACRTGCTGTAGGCACACCTAGAGGTGCTCTAGGCACACCCAGAGCATGTGGCTCCGGGCGGCATCCAGGCAAGTTCTCCGGAGAAGGAGACTCCACAGCCTCGCTGGGCACCCTCACAGTGCAGAAGTTCCTCCTCACATGCAGATGGAACTGCCTGTCTTTCAACTTATACCTATTGCCCCTCTTCCTATCAGTGTCTCCATGGATGGAGAGACAAGCACCTCTCTCGGCAACCAGGAATTCGTGCTCTCATCTAGAGCCTTGCCTCTTAGCAAGTGCTATTATTGTTACTAATACAGAACCYGGGACGCTCAGAAGCATAGTGCCAAACAAAACAAAACAAAATGAAAAACAGAAAAAAAAGGCCTTCTGATCATGCAGCATGTTAATGACACATTCASAATTGGCCTTTTCAGTATCACCCATCTCCCTAGATGGATGTGGTTAATAGTATTGAACAAACAGAAAGGACATTCAAGCTGTCATCTTCATGACCACTTGCCTACATAATAAAACAGGAGATAATGCAGCTGCAGCTCCAGTGGAAATACTCTCTGGGAATTGCAGAAGGATCTGTCATTCAAGCAAGCGGCATGTGAGTGGTGTTATGCACCTTTTCCACTCTGCACAAAATCCCTTCCTCCAGCCACCTCCTGCCTTGGGTCACTGGGAGTGGCAAGGACTTGGTGGGATGTGGATTAAAGGTGCAGCGTGATGTATAGGCAGCCCTTCGTCGGGGTGATCCCTCCTGTGCCGCCGTGCCYGTGCCCGCCTCATGGCTGCAGGGCYGCTCCTGGCAGCACCGCTGCCAAGGAGCCTCGTGCTCATTGGCCGCGAGGGCTGCCACTCAGGAGAGACCCGGCCTGCCATTGGCCAGCACCCTTCTTGCCCGCCCATAGGCATGGCAATTGGGGGGGGGGGTGAGGTCGCCATGGCAACATCAGGGGCGGTGCCCAGGGATCTCTGACAGGTGATGGCATCACAAGGCACGAGGTGCACGGTGATTGGCTGGGATGGGGGGGCGGTGCTAGAGGCGGTGACGTCACCGACAGGCGTTGCCTTGGGAGCCCTGGTGACGTCACCCGCGGTGTCCCACAGCGGGGAAAGCGCGTGGCGCCGGTGACGTCACCGCGGCTGCTGACGTTGTTCTGGTGACACCATGGGCTCTAGCGACGTCACGGAGCAGGCGGGAGCAGCGGGAATGAGGGTGCGATGACGTCACGCGCAGCGCGGGGAGCTGTGGGAGGGGCGTCGCGCCTGGAGGTGCCGCTCCGGTCGGGAGCGTCCTGCGGAGGTGGCGCAGGGAGCAGGGCCGGAGCGCGAGGAGCAGCCCCGCGAGGCCCCGCTGATGCCATCACGGGCGCTGACCGTGCTTGGAGCAGCACCGTGAGCACCAGGCCGTGCAGGGACAGCGGTGGCACCGCTGGGGACAGGCCGGGCTTGCGACAGGGACGGTTGTGACCCTGCGGGTGGGAGCAGGCKGCTCGTGTCCCTTGGTGGCGCCCCGGGTGCTGGCCTGGCAGGGGTGGGGCCGGGGACATCCTCGTTGGCAGGGCWGGGGACAGGCAGGGGCCCTGGTGGTGACCATGGACTCCTGGAGCTGCTCCTTGTGCGGCAGCCGCAGTGCCGGGAGACGGAGATCTGCGTGTGGTGAGTGCGGCCCGGGCTGGCTCTGAAATGTCCTGCGGGGAGCCCTGGGCTGCGGGGATCTGCGGGCTGGGATGTCGTGGGTGCTGGGTCCTCTGTATGGGATCCCGTTGGTGATGGGTCTCCAGGCTGGGATGCCATGGGTGCTGCGTCCCCTTTGGAGGATCCTGTTGGTGATGGGTCTCCAGGCTGGGATGCCATGGGTGCTGGGTCCACTGTATGTTGTCCCATGGACACTGGCTCTCCAGGCTGGGATGCCATGAGTGCTGCGTCCCCTGTAGAGGATCCTGTTGGTGATGGGTCTCCAGGCTGGGATGCCATGGGTGCTGCGTCCCCTGTAGAGGATCCCGTTGGTGATGGGTCTCCAGACTGGGATGCCATGGGTGCTGGGTCCACTGTATGTTGTCCCATGGACACTGGCTCTCCAGGCTGGGATTGCATGGGTGCTGGGTCCACTGTCTGGGATCCCATGGGTGCCAGGTCTCCAGGCTGGGATCCCATGGGTGCCATGGGATCCATGTCCAAGCGTTGCTCTTGTCCCCTGCATCTTTCCTGTCCCCTACTGTCCCTCCCAGCACCCCCCAAGTCTTCCTGTCCGCAGCTGTCCCCAGCACTGGGTGTCCCCATCCCCAACTGCTCCCTGCTCTGCGCCAGCTTTCCCTGTCCCCACTTGTCCCCTGCCTCCTCCGAGCCATCCCTTTGCTTCCCCCGGCCCTGCAGGGTGGACCTGGACGTGGCGGCCATGGAGAGGCTCCAGGCAGCCTCAACCTCGCAGGATCGGCGGGCGTGAGTGAGGGCAAAGAGGTGTTGTTCGAAGCGGACCCTGGGATGGGTGCGACAGCCCGGGACACTGGAGATCCCAGGAGAGACCTTAAGCCTCCTGCAACATCCGGAGTAACTCCCCGATTCCCCATCAAACCACGTGACACTCTCGGGACACCCTGGAGACMCCTGGGAGTCCCTGAAGAGCCTCCAGGGACATTCTGGGGCAACTTGGGGACTCTGGGACCTCCTAAGAGAAACCTAGAGGAGCCTGGGGGTCCCATGGGGCACTGGGGAAGAGGGAGCCCATGGGGACGTGGGACACCCTGGGAGCCCTCTGCAGCTCTGCAGTGCCAGCCCATGTCCCCTTGTCATAGCCCAGGACACCTTGGAGCTCATGTCCCCCACACACACACTTGCCTCGTGTCCTTGTCCTTCTTGTGATCTCTTCCTTGGCCCTATCACATCCTGACTCCCTCTCCCAGCGTGGACAAGTGGGACCCCCCAAAATCCTCTTACAGGACACCCCTGTGCTCCCCATGAGTGTCTCTGGCCCCGACTSAGCAGCCCACATCTGGGGACATCCATGGCCCATCCCCGTCCGCAAGGCGTTCCCAGGCTTTGCCTGTGTCCCGGTTGTGTCGTGCCAGGATGTCCTTGTTGGTCCAGGGTGCTGTCAGAGGTCCTGCCAGGGCCGCCTRTCCTTCTGGATGCCTATGAGGGGGCCCTGGAGCTGGGCCGGGAGCTGCGGCTGAGCCCGGGGCCCCTCTCGGCCTTGCTGGGCATCGTGCGCCGCACCATCGCCGCGTGCGCAGGTGAGCGCAGGGCAGGGCCGGGACACGGGGGACGGTGGCACCCTGCGGGGCTCAGGGCCAGCCCCGCACCGCAGAGACCCCCGTGCCTCGCCTGGAGGAGAGTTACGGCTACTTCAGGGAGCTGCTGCTGCGCCACGCCGTGCACGTGAGTGCTCCCTGCGCTGGCGGCGGCTGCCCACGCGCTCCCGCGCAGCCGCTGCCCTCCTGCGGCCCCGGCACGGTGCCCTGCTCGCCCTCGGCACGGTGCGTGGCCCCGGGGGTGCCCTGCACGCTTATCGAAGCACGCACGGTGCTCACGATGCCCAGCACGCTCAGAGGGGCCTGTGTGCGCTGTGCACGCTGCCCGTGCACGTGTGGGCCCTGCACGCTCCCCATAGAATTATGGGCACTGCAGGTTCCTAAAACATTTACAAGCCCAGCACTCTCCCCGTACACGTATGTAGCATGGGCCCTGCATGCTCCCAACATGCTACCGTGCACGTATGTGCCCTACACGCTCCCAGCAGGCTTCCCACACACATAYGGGCGCTGCACACTCCTGGCACGCTGCGCACGCACATGGGTACCCTGCACACTCCCAGCACACTGCCCACACATGTGTGGGAACTACAAGCTCCCGGCACTCTCCCCATACAAGTGTGGGTTTTCCAGGCTCCTTGCCACACACATGTGGGTCCTGCACGCTCCCTGCACGCTGCCAACACACACTGGGGCCGTGCACGCTCCCACACGCCGCTTGCGCCCCACTCTGCTCCCACGCGCTCGTCTGCTCCCCTTGTGCACTGCGGGCAGCCCGCACGGTCTGTGCGCACCCCTCACCTGCCCACCATGTCCCTCCTGCAGTGCCCCCCGGCCAGCGTGGCCGTGTTTGGGCCGAGCCAGGTGGCCCGCGTGGCAGCCTACATCCTCAACACGGTCCTTGGGCATGCCAAGCTCTATGCCTACGCCCTCACGGCCCAGGTGAGCTTGGCACCGGCACAGAGAGCTGCGCACGGAGGTGTGCGACATAAGGCCCGCCCTGCGCTATGCCCGGCTCCTGCCCTTGTGCTCAGGTCTGCCTGGACTTGACTCTAGTCTACGTGGGCGGCCCTGAGCCCGGCCTAGAGGGAGAGGAGCTGCCCGGCGTGGCCCCCGAGGAAGGAGGGGAAAGCCCCGGGCAGTGCAGCGCAGGTGGGATGTCCCCGGCCCAGGCTGCTGGGGACACGCGGGTGTCTGAGGGAGCGGTGCGGAACAGGGGCTGATAAGGAGACCATGAGCTCGTGGGGGGCACCGCGGGCTCTTGGAACCTGGAGGATGGTGGCGGGTGTCCTGGGAGGCGCCCGGACTTCCCGTGGGCACCAGTGGCCTGGTGACAAGCACTGTGTCCACCGTGTCCCTGTCGCCAGGCTCTGGCTCGTGTGCTCTGTGTTCTCTGGGCCTCCTGTGTCCTTTTCTGCAGCCCCCRTGTCTCCCTGCAGCCCTGACCCCTGCCTTCTGTCCCTGCGCTCCCTGAACGTCCCCTGTCGCCAGCCCTGAGCTCTGCTCCCTCTTCTGCCCTCCTTGGCCCCAGGCGSGACCCTGTGTCCTCTATGTCCCACRTGCCAGGCCCCAGATCCTGTCTTCTGTCCCTTGTTTGCCTCCTCAGTGGAGCCATGTCCTGCGCGCCCGTGTCCCCAGGGTCCCCRCTGCGGGAGGTGGCGGTGGCTGAGCTGGCGCAGGTGGCCCAGGGCGTGAGGCAGGAGGTGGAGATGGGCATGCAGCGTGGCAGGGAACAGCTTGAGGCTTCCTTGGGCCCTCTGGAGAGGCGCCGGGGCCGAGGATCCAGCACGAGGCTGCCCAGGCCTCCCTCTGGCACCAGAAAAGCCTTGGGTGCCCCCAGGGCCCCTGCACGCAGCAATAAAGGTCCTAGCCGCTGACAGCGTCTTTGTCCTGCTTGGAACTCACCCCAACGGTTCCCTGTTCCCTGGGACATCCGCAGGACTTCCCCAGGGTGCCCAGGCAGCGCTGGGACCTCAGCCAGCTCCCCACAGGACCCCGCTGCTGCGCCCAGCTCCCTGCACCCCGTCCCCATGTGCTCTGGGACTCCCTGTGCAGAGGCCCACTCCGTCGGCCGCTCCATCGCTCAGCCCATCCGCCATCCCCTCCCACTGCTTGCCACCGGGATAAAAGACAGGCCGGTGCCGGGGTGGCCGCGGGAGCCGCAGCCGCTCGCCATGCGCTCCCTGGGCGCCGTGCGCGCCGGCTACGAGGCCTTCGAGSCCGGCGCCTACCTGCAGAACAGCTACGTGCCGCCGCGCGCCGACTGCTCCCCCGCGCAGCGCGTGGTGCCCTGGAAGCTGCGCYGCTTGGCCGAGGTCTTCACCGGCGGTGAGGGGCTGCGGGGGGTGCGGACCCCTCCTCGGGTGGCCCCATGGGCTGCTGCATCCCCCTGCTCAGCTCTGCTGCTCCTCAGCCCCGTCGCTGTCCTGGTGCCCAGCCCATCYCTGTCCTTGTCCTGGAGCCCAGCTCTACCTCATCCCAGTCGTGGTCCTCAGCATCATCCCATCCCAGTCCTTATCCTGGTCCCCATCCCTATTCCCATCCCCATCCCRGTCCCCCGGTGCGGGGGGCATGTGTGTGTGCGCAATGGGGTGGGTATGGGGTGTGCAGTGGGGCAGTGTGGGGTGTGCAGTGGGGCAGGTGTGGGGTGCACACTGGACTCTCAATGGAGCAGACATGGGGCACCCAGTGGGGCAGACACCGGGCACACAGCGGGCTGGAGCCAGGCTGCGCCACGGCGTGCAGGGTGGGCACCCACGGGGCCGACAYGGGCTCCTGGTGGGTCGCTATGGGGCACCCCACAGCGTGGGCAGGGGTGACAGCAGCGACTCAGGGGCACGCAGAGAGAAGCCACCGCTTGGACCCTTCATCTTTATTAAGGGGGGCACAAGGGGGAGGCCCAGGCCCCCCAGCCCCAAGGCTGCATCCGCGGGCGGCGCCGCGTGTCCCCCCGTCCCCATCCCCGTCACCGTCAGCAGCCGTTGCCACCTCGCGACCGCCGGGCTCGGAGCAGGGGGTGACCGGGGGGGTCTCAGGGCGCGCGGGCCGGCTTGGCACGGGGCGGGGGGCCGCTCCTAGTCCGCCTTGAGCGGCTCGGAGTTGGCCCGGAGGAGGTAGAGGCTGTCGTCCAGCAGGAAGCTGCCGAGGAAGAGCAGGAACAGGAGGAGGAGGAGGAGGATGGGGGGGATGCAGGTGGCTGCTGGGGCCGTGGGGAGGGCTGGGAGGACGGGAGCAGGGTGTCCAGCCGCTGCCGTGTGGCCGTGGGGCGCCCGGAGCTGGACGGGAGACTGGGATGTGGCTTCCGGAACAGAGGCTGGGGTGGGAGCCCYCGGAGCTGCCTCGTTCCCCGGGAACGCCAGTGGGACCCGCTGGAGCCCAGGGATGAGAGAGGGGCCCCCACACCCTACGGATAACACAGGGACCTCCAACAGCACCCTATGGATAACAGAGGGCTCCTAGCACCCTATGGGTAAGAGAGAGATCACAGCATCCTATGGATAAGAGAGAGGCCCTCCAGCACCCTATGGATAACAGCACCCACGCAACACCTTCTGGATAAGAGATGCCCTCAGCACCCTATGGACAAGAGCCCCGCCCCAGCACCCTATGGATAACAGAGAGGCCCTCAGCACCCTCTGGATAGGGGCGCCCACCTGTAGAAGAGCACGTTGAGCGGGATGGTGCCGAGGTGCCACACGGCGTGGGCGTCCAGCACCCAGAGCAGYGGCGGGAAGTCGAGCAGCTCGAGCAGCGCCAGCGCCTGCAGCGGCAGCACGGCCGCCGCGCACTTCCAGGCGTGGGGCAGGCGCGCGCCGCCCCGCGCGCACCACCACAGCCAGCGCAGCACCGTCAGCAGCCCTGCGGAGGGATGGGATGGTGTGGGATGGG